TTCATCATGAGGCATCTTTTCAGCCACATAAGCATTGCATTGCTGTTTCTAAAAAATTTGGTTGTTTTGAAACGACACAAGAAGCCAAGTCGGACAATTGTAAACCATTTTCTAAAATTCGTGGAATCGTTGCTATCAATATTTCAATTGTATCAACAATATTTCCAATATTTATTTGACTATAACTGACCATAAGGTATTTAATTTGTCTTTGAGTGTTTCTCTACCTTCTTTCAATTCTTTGTACCAATTGTGGCAGAGTGTATAAATATCTAAATTAATTTATTCATTACGGAAATTCGACAATAATAAATTCTACAAATTACAAGGGAGATTCGAGTATATAATTTAATAAAGCGCATCCACTGCGCCCACATAACGTTGCAAAACTTTAGAAACAACAAAATTCCCTATTGCTTGAACAAAGTTGTTTGTTATCAAGAATATAGGCCTACGTGCACTCGACAGTTTGTCAACCACCAGACGAGTGACAGTGAAAGCAATTAAGAATGGCACACTCGGGCAAGGCCAATCGTTAGGTACCCTACCGCCACTTCGCCTAATACATTTGTTAATTCATTTTCTTAATAGTACACAAAGAATGATCCGTTATTATTATATATAGTATGCAATATTAAGTATATGCATAATTTTCATGAAAGCCTTCATATTAACAAAAACGTTGACTAATGTGGTCCAAATTTAGCAAACTCTATTTAGTTGCCAATGATTTTATAATTTTTCAGATGTTTCCCTCGCAATAAACTACACTTCAGACTTTGAGTCTATGGAAGGAGTGGCTTTCATGAGTGGCCTTATATATGGTGCGGTCTAAAAACTAGACCTATTTGATCCGAATTTCCTATGGTTAATTTGCTAAGCACCAATGTTGATCATAATATATTAACCTTTTCGACATATAAATGATTATGTTTTATTAGCCCTCTTTAATGGCTCGGAAACCAAAAAATGGATCTACGAGGTCCAAACTCGGTAAGGTCAATTTTTATGCGATTTTTCATCAGCAGATATTAAAAATGAGGACTTTTTGGCATACAAAGTTCTATTTTCCGGACAGACAAACTTATTGATTTCGAATCGATCAGTATACTAAAAGCTAGGTGTACCACAAGTCCTTCTGAGTGTTACATAACCTTAATATACTGTTGCATAATAGTAGCGCAGAGTATAAAAAATATTTAAGCCAGCTTCTCTTTCAAGTGACAAGCCTAATGGATGTTAATAAGAAAAACATTTAATAAACAGAAGCACAAAACAAAAAATTGAACGAACAATAATCTGTAGATAATTATCACAACTGATCGTTAGCGAATGGTCATAATAAAACAGAAAATGAACGATGCTATGTTATGGGCTTGCTATATGTTGCACGCTGATACTTTATTGATTAATAATATCCGTCACGAAAGCACCAAATTAGATTTTCATACCATTTCGACCACTTATGTGCGAGTTACAGTATTTACGGGAAGATCTGAGTTTCGTGCCTTCGCTCTTTGGTAGCGAAAAATACTGTTCAAATTCAGCATCGGCTTGAAAACCGTTACGGCAGCTCCACTATGTTGAAAATAGTCGTTCAAACACTGACTTTGCTGAACGGAGGCGGTGACTAAAAGAGGTAAACTTGACAAATCGTTCTGTAACAAAGGTATCGAAAGATTAGGAACCCAGTGTACTGGTCTTTTGAAGGGCACTATGCTCTGAATGTAAGCACAAATTTTCCAAGACAAATGTTTTCTCGCAAGTTTCGGGAAGGAGTCAAAGACGCGCGCATAGAAAAAGGGACGGACTTGTATAAAACGTACTGTTCGTAGGTGAAAGCAAAAATAATAAATTTAAAAAAGACGGCCGCTTAAAAATTTCGACACACCTGGTGCAGTGCTAATCGCGAACACTTGGTGTGAAACAGAATATTGGGAGCATCATAATTACACACTTCTTGGCCGATTTGGCAATTCGTTTGGCTATGTTTGCTGCACTGAAGTTTGTCATTTTTGCCCTCTGGTCTTAGAGTTTTGCTTTCCTTCGTTCTGTTTGTTTCACCAATTCATTACTTATTTTCAACGTTCTCAGTATTTTTGAAGTCATTTATTACAGCTAATACCGTGTTTCTCACAGGCAAAATTTCTCTTCGACATTTCCCTCGAATTAAATATTTTTGAAATAGAAGTGTATATGTCTGCAATACTTAACACATCAAAATAAACCAAAACTTCCAATGGATTACGTGCTACAATTAAAATAAATATATGATTACCTTTTTCAATAATAATAAAAGGCGACTTAAGCTATTTATACCTTGGTTATGTAGTATCCAAGAGGACTTGAGACAGGCCAATCTCTTATTTTACTGATCAATGCAGGAAGATTTTCAGAATCGACCTAAGTTTGTTTGTGGCTCTGTCCGTCTGACGTCTGTTCATGTGTTTTTCTGTCCAGCCTATAGATCGCAAGACAGTTTTGAGAAATTTGCTACCCTGAAGTCTTTTGGCCCAGAGGCGAAACGCTATTGAAAACGTTTCAGATCGAACCCGCTTTCGGCCCACACTTACAATTTATTTTGATAAGTGTTATATGAGTAAATGTGGGGTAGTACAGGGTATTCCATAACGAACTATGTCGCCCTATAATCTCTTCAGTTGTCTTGTTTTAATAATTTCTTCTTCACAACGTGTATTAAGAAACTTTTACGCATATATACGCCAACGTCTTTAACCTACTGAATTTACGTCATGTTCATCGTCTGTATTTCAAAGTAACTAGTTGCCATATTATTATCGTTATGTAATATCCCTGAACGATACGGGCAAAATATAATGGTGTACGTAGCAGGAACTTTTGTGTAAGTCTCTTGCGTTTTTTTTTTCGGATTGAGTGACTTGACTTGATTAAGATCGGCCGCCAATTGCTTGGTGAGAAATCATTTCTTTGGCCAAAATTTGGATGCAAATATTTTTCGTGGTTATATTCATATTATTGATCTCCCATTCTCTAAATTTTGGAAATTGTCTACTAATGCTTGGGTTTCATGAATAGATTAAATTCACTTATTGTGTATGTCACGTCAGTAGAGAAGTTGAGATAAGTTCATTGAGATTTTTGCTCTAAGGATAAAATCAAACGGAACAAGCTAAGCTTTTAAGCTTTTCCAATTTCATTTTCGAGAAAGCGCTGCCTATAATAGAAATCTTAGAATTAAGTCGCCCTTTACAATGTGCCGACACTAAATATCAATCATTCTAGATCAGATTTTGATATGTAATTGTATAACATTTCTTTTAGTTAAAGTTGTATTACACTTATGATTCGTAAAAAAAAAGAGAAAAAAAGAACGAGATAGAAAACTTAAAAACGGTATTACTTGGCTTTCTATTCCTCTTTTTGCACATGCATACTTTTTGTTTGCTGTTTTTGCTCTTCAAGTATGAGAATATTTTTTTTATATGCTACTTGACCTTAGAAAACTATTATAGTTTCCTTTTTTCTTTTCCACAGGAAGGGTAAAACAGCAAAAAAAAAAAAAGAAAAAAATAGTTCTTAACAAAAATATGTGACAAAGTTTGGCCTTGTTTTTCTTTTCTACTTTCCTTTCTCTGGTACTCTCCGTATCAGAAACTGTCACAAAAATGTAAAATGTGTATGCACATACATACCAATGTACTTGTGCATATAAATTTTTATGTTGGTGCTGATGGGTTTCGTTTCTATATCTATTTGCTTACAAAGGGAAAAGGGCAGACGTAGAGAGGAACAATTTTATAAAACAGGCGTAACGTTCTTTTTTTTTTTTATCTTATTAAGAAAAAAATTAAAATAAAAAATATATGCATAAAATATTTTTTCCCTCTAGAACTCTAAAAAGCATTCATATCAGATTATGACTTGAAAAATGTCGGATTTTCTCATTCGATACTTTATCACAAGAAACCAGCAAATAAAAATACAAAGAAGGACAGAGTAACTCGGATGAAAGCCAGAGAATTCGAAATGAACTTTGCTGCTCTATCGATTCATTTTTAACAGTTTAAGAGTCTTAAATTCAGCATGATTCGCTTTCAAAGACGGGAGGCAAGACAGTAATATTGAGTAAGCGGGAATGACTTTTTCATTTTTGCGAAGGTGCGAGGAAATCTTTAGCGTGCTTATCTTCTAGTTTATGTGTAACGGAGAAAAATCCAAAAAGCAAAGCTATTCTCGGTTTATATTGAACTGTAGACATGTGCTCATTTTCAATCGAAATGCAATAACAACAATTATTATTAGTTCAAAATATTACTCAAGCAATTCAATGTAATTTTCCACTTGATTTGCAAAAAATGAGCCTTTTTTCAGGAATTCAAATATACGTAGATTGCATTCTTCTACTTTAAGTTTATACAATGTATAATAGTAGTATTATTGTTTGATTCTTGCTATCATTCAACTGATTCAATTATGAAATATGCGGCGCAAATTCCATTTAAAAGCAATAGAACGTCCAGCCGGCAATTTAGATAATATTTGAAATGTGACATAGTAAGGATGATTTGAACAAATGGAAGACAAAAAGGCACCTTTTCCGCTATTTACACTAATGAAAACCATACAAATCATAGGTTACGCGACACATACTTTTAAAGTTTATAAACATTTGTTAAATGTAATATGTGAAAAAAAAATTTCATAACAATTTTCTTCTGGAGGCAAAGTTTCGATTTCGGCTTGCAACACATACGATCGAATTCGGTAAATTTTCTCTGTCGTTCACTACTCCCGCCGTTGATAAAACATAATGGCGAACTACTTTGAATTATGAAAGGTACGTATAACGTATTACTTTTCGCGAAGAAATTTGTAAAGCGGTCAGCAGGTTGACCATTGCAAAATGACATATATCACATAGTATGCCCTAAACCAGTAGTGTTACAGGGTATATCAAGGTTTTACGGATGTATGCAATGCCCAGAAGAGCTTAAGCTGGACTCACCATTTATTGCACCGATCTAAGCTTGTCTATCCGTCTGATGTATGTTCATGTATTGGTAGGTTGAACATACAGGTCATAACTTTTGAGATATTTTCATGGAATTTGGTACACTGACATCTTTTAACCCAAGCACGACACACCATTGAAAGTATTTCGAATCGCTATTTCGCCCAACATTTAAATTTAATTTTATTTATTTTATTTTATTTATCTTTATTTTTTATTTCCAACGTCAGGCCACCAATGCCTTGCCTGATGGTTATACCTTGGAAAATCTGAGGTTCCAATTCCTGACTTTCTGCAAAGGCGACTGTACAAATAGCCTGAGCTGATTTATCGTCCCTTCTGGACAAAAGTTTGTGCAAACCTTCAGGTTTCAACTTTTCGAGAAGCCATTTGATATATGGACCTAAATAGTAAAATGTATCATAACGCATTAAAAAAAAATCGGCAATGAATATTACCTGGCAAACCCCTGAGGGCGTTAAAACAGAGAGATGTATCTTCTACTAGCACAGAACAGTTGACACAGCGCGCTGCCTTTTTACATTTCTTGGCAGCTATATCTAAAATTTCACCTTGCAATTCTGGTAAGTATCTATGAAGCAATTTTACGGGTATTTGTGTTACTTAGTGATGGTTTGAGGTATGCTAGCCTACCGTTCTCCAATAATCAATATATGAATCACATGAATAACATTATCAATATGAACAACAATTATCCAATAATTAATCGCAGAAACTCTGATAATGATCCACGTTCGGGCACCCGAGCCGGCCATCCAAACTCAACCGATGATACTATCCAATCCGAACTCTATGAGGGTCAATTGAATACCTGTGCCACTGAGCAGACAAACCATAGGCAAGGGGCGAAATCGTTTTGGAAAACCTTTTATAACATTACATTAAATGGAATCGATGTGCCCGTGGCTATCGTTTGAAATCGTGATTGCGACTGTTGCCTAAAATGTTATTATATTAGACCCGTTAATATCTTCAGGCAATCAAATTGATTACTTCCTTACGACCAAAAGTAGAGAAAAGCTATAAAACTGTTGTTTACGCGTGTTAAGTACGCTTTGCACATGTATTTAAATTGTTTATTCAGTGACTGCAAAAATCTCGTATTTCAGCGCTTTTAATGTTTATTATTGGAGAGATGTGTTTTGACTGTATCCAAATAGGAGTTAATCAAGTGCTTTGAAATTAAAATATAAAAAATTTCAGCAAGTGAAGTTCACTGATTTTGGAACTGGAGCATTCTTAAATAATATATATATGTATTTGTGATAAAATAGAAGGGTAATTACGCCTCTTTTAAGTAACTTTTGTTTGTGACGAGAAGAAATTTGATGTTTGTTTTTATATATTTTATGTTTGATTTTCGTCATCGCTTTCCTTTTAAAGGCGCACTTTTTATAGCAGACCTCCAAATGTGGAAGACACTCCAAAAGTTAAACTGATGTGATCTAAATTTAGCAAAAATAACTTTTTTATCAACGTTCTTATCGTCATTTACCTCGCCATAAAAATGTCCATCTGTCATGAGTTCCTTCCTTCTATGGGGTGAGTTGCAGAAAATGGACCTACATAATCCAGATTTGGTGTGGTTAATAGCTATATATTACTACCAAGTGACAATTTTCCACTATTTACCTACCTGCCCCAGCCGTCCGTCTGTCCATCTGCCTGTGTTGTGTTCAAATTACAGGTCGCAACTTTTGAGATATTTTGATTAAATTTAGTACCGACATATTTTGGCCGAAGAACGCTATTGGAGCTATACATTTTATTTTGAAAAGTCGGTATACGAATATGTTTATTAAGCAAAATAGTGCGCCGTTTCTCCCTACAGCGTTTTTACTTGCTAACATTATGGAGTCTCCGATGGGCATTTATAACTAATAATTTATTTAATATTTCATGGATGTAGAAAAGCACCAAATATCCCACGGCTAAGTTCGCTCATCTACAAACAAAGAAAAGAAAGATCAATGTTTGTGTTCTGCTGTCCTATTTCAATATGATATACAAACAATGTGCGCGTGTTTGCAAGCGTTTACATTTATTTACATCGTTCGTCAGTACAATTTTCGATATCTTGAATTTTTCTCAATAAATTCCCATTTCTTATATCATCGAAACACAGCAAACTAAAAGAAAGTCATTTTGCTACAGTTGTTACAGTAACTTGTGTTTCATACATTTACATCAGAGTTGACAGTTTTTTATAGTTCAGTGACTTTTTTAATCAAAAATATTAATTAGGTCGGAAAAAGTGCGCGCATATTTAAAGAAAATCTCGCTAGAATTTCTGGGGGACACTGTTAATAATAAACCTATGCCTAGCAACACACTTAAAAAGCTCCAAGAGTTATGCTTTTAATTAAGAAAATTTGTTATATTAAAGCGAGACACTTTGGAAACGGATATAATAGTTTACAAGCGTTTGATTGCTTCAAAATGCACAAAATGCACAAAATGCTTAAACAGTGCCTCCTAATTAACGACCTTAATGTCCATCACATAAGATGAAAATTTATTAAGTTTTCATTTCCGCTTTTAGCATTGAAGCTATTTGAATAGAACAAATTTTGAAGTCCAAATTCTGAACACTGTGTCAACTTTAGTAACTCTATGAAAAGTACAATGTTTTAAACTTTACATAATATTTTATTATATCTTAGACCACTGGTGGTTCAAGGGTATATTAAGCTTGCACGGATGCACGCAACACCCAAAAGCAATTAAGAAAGACCCAAATAATTCAGAGTCATTTCAGACGCTTTCAGCATGTCCGTCTATCTATCTAATACATGTCTATATATTTTTGTATCCAACCTACAGATCGCACTGTTGGAGGAATACTGACTGATCTTTTGATTTCCATTGAGACCTGTTGAAAATGGAATGGATCAGACCAATTGCAGTTTTCGAAATTTCTTGACAAAAATCGCTCAGTAACAGTAATTCACCTCACTCACAAATATTCATTTCAAATCTGGATCGGATGGGATTGGATTCTGAATTATCCCCTGTATAAGTGTTCTCACAAAAGGTAAACCTTTATATATAAGAGAAAAATGGTGCAATTTCTATGATTTCACAGTGACAATTACTTAAAAGTTATAGTTTGACATTGATATGATTCCATATCGATCTAAGCTTATCTGTCCGTCTCTCCGTCTTGTTTTCTCGTGTTCAACCTGCTGCAGGTAGTCAGATCGGAGATATTTTAACGAAATTTAATACATCGATATCCTGTTCCCCAAGGAAGATGCAGTTGAGAACGGTGCGGATGGGAGCAACTTTTCGACCACTTCGCATATAACATCGTATTTTGAAAAGTCATTACATAAATAATTGTCAGATGGTGCACTTATTCGAAATGGTAAACTTGTGCTTTAGCATGCAAACATTCGAGTTCATATTGCGAAAGATTTCAAACAAACTTTAAACCGCTAATACCAGTCAACGATAAAGGCATGGAAGCAATTTGATTCCTGTGCCCAAAAAAGTGGTCTGTTTATGACAAGTTGTCTGTTTGAAATTATATCACGTAATTTTATAATTACTTTTTTAGGAATAAAGTTGAGTAGTTTCCACGAAAATTTCTTAACTTTAATGCACAGTCTAAATATATTCCCCAGACGACCACTGCGTTCATTGTTGAGTACCTCTACTTACTTTGCAGAAATAAAAATTTGAAGTAGAAAGACCGGACAACTCTTTCTTACACAATTACTTCCTATCTAAGTTTCGGAAAAAAGGCGACATTTTAAGGTATTCGATATTTGATTACAAATAAGCCAACATCCAAAGTGTTGTGCGCAAAACATTGCTTAATCGTCCTAGTTGGTCTATCAATAACCAATTTTCGATTTCAATAATGCCGACGTTTGAAATAGTGGATATGGAAGACTTTTCCTAAGACATTGGCTTCTTGCTCAGTACAATGGAATGCAATATCGGTTGTGAGTTAGGCATGCCTTTTTGAAAATTTCACTACAACAACAAATGTTTTTTGCTTTGTCTAAGTGACCTTCGAAATCATGCATGCAGCACTTCACTTAAGTGAAAATTACTTTATATGTAGCAGATATGTATGCGAATGTTTTTCAACGGAAATGCAGATACAAAAAAAAGGGGCGAAAATTGTGAAGAAAAACTCAGTGCCACTGTAACATTTGAACAATTGATTTTGGCACAAAAGAAAACATAATGACCTAAATAAGAATTTTAGTTCTTTTATTTTAAAACTTATTTATTTTCGTTTTTTTCATTTTTTTCTATTATAAAATTTCGAGAATTATAAACTTTAAATCTTATATATCTAGTTAAAATTAAAAAAAAAAGATCTTTTTCATTTTTTGGACTAAAACTTGTTATAAAGTTTATAAACTGTGCCATGTATATACGTGCATGTATATAGAATGTATAAACAATAGTTACTTACACTTTTTACACTGATACACCGAAATATAAAAATTTTATCGTTACGTTTCTATCAACTAGACATATACGTGAAAATCCCATAAAATATCGCCGTAAGTGCCCGAGCGTACGTATTCTAATGTTTGTGAGGATGAAAATCATGCTGTGATAGCCTCAACGGCTATTCCAGGCGTCCTTAGCTTGGTGATATCTCACCACTCACCACAATAAAAAGAAACCATAATATCTCTTGACGTTATAATTGAACTGCTTAACCTTATCTTAAATACATAAAAAGAACTTGTAAAGACCAAAGTCACGCAGCTTGTTTTGATACTTACAAGCCCGTCCTTCTTCGGGTACTCCAAAAAGAACAAAGTTAGATATAAAAAAGATCGGACATCGTCATTTTCTTTATTCATTGGCCATATCCTAATAACCCAAAGGCGTATATAATCATTTATAAAGTATCTTATTTAGATATCTAACCATGATAATCCAACGGCTTATAAAATCAATTATTCTGCACTCTGCTGATTAAACTGCCATAACCTATCAGGCTTCTTGTAGCAGCACTTATTCGATCAGTCTCGTATTATTCTTTCTTTTATACAGCATTCAATGTTTACGACATCGATGACTTATTTCGTGATCCTAACCTATCGGTTTTGTAACATCATTCATAAGAGATCAACTTTATTACTAACAAACTATCGGCTAACTAGCCTATCGGTTTCTTCCATCATTGTACAGATTGCGGGTCCCTTGGAATGAACTGTACCACTCTTCGTCTCCTTTAGCAAAAAGTTAAGATAAAAGATATATATCTGGACAATGTGTGTAAATAATATGTAAAAGGGTCTATGACATCTTGAAAATATCTTTCATCCAGTCATAACTTAAGAAAATATTAAAATTTACGGATAATTTAAGTTTATCATTTATGAAAGATAACGGTCCAGAGATCTTTGCTGGAAGAAGTGCTATCGGTCCATTTCCAGGCCCCTGCTAATATACAACAGTTTGATTCTCCGAAAAATCCCTACATACTTAGCACATTTACTTTTGAGGCTCCCGTTTTTATGTGATCTCTTCGTAGGAATAAAACTTTAGAAAACATTTACGCCACTTTGAATAGTTAAAATCACTGCGCAAACGTGTGGAAAAATGCACACATGGTAAAATTTATATTTGTATTTGTGACTTTATTTAAATTTATGTGAAAATGTGAAAGCAAAATTGTGAAGGTATACTAAAGCGATC